TTAAGGTATTGTTATGAAACAACTTTTTATGTTAAAGTGTTTAGTCTTATACCGGTGGAATCAACTTTATTCTTTCTTGATTTTTCTTTTTGGTTGTAGGCATGTCTTTATTATACATGCAGAGCTATTTGGCTTACGATCCTCCCGTTGTATCTTAGCAAATAATACACTCGTCGTTAGCTTATAGCTCATTAAATACCTCATTGTTGTTGTTACAGTTGAAGTCACATGAATCTTTGATATTGTTTGGAGTATACGACACATATTATAGTCTAAACTATGCGACTGAGGTTTATGAGAGTCCTGAGTCACTAAGAGAAGTCATCAATAACCATTCATTTAGTAGTTGATTGTTGGGACGGGTTGTCCCGGAGGGATTGACTATTGGCTCTCAATAATTGGGGACTAAACTGGGACCTCAATATTGAGGTCCTCAATTGAGGACCGAATTGATGACATGTTTTGTAATCATGTTGCGACCCCAATTATTGAGATAAAGCCAATAGTCAACTCCTCTCAGACAACCGGTATCAACAACAACTACTAAATGATTATTGATGACATTTTTTTGTGATATCATAAACATCAGTCGCATGGTTTAGACTAGAATATGTGTCGTCTATCTCAAGCAACAAACAATGTAAGGTCAACTGCAACACGACCTTAACTGCAATAACAATGCGCTATTTAATGAGCTATTTGCTACAAATACAACAGAAAGTTCGTACACCAAATAACTATGTATGGTATAATGAAGACACGCCTACTACCGTAAAGAAAAGTCAAGTTAATTAAACAGAAGTAAAGTTGATTCCACCGATAGAAAGACAAAAAACTTTGACTTAACAAGTGGTTTCATAACAATACTTAAGCACTTCAGTATTTAAAAAAAAAAAATCTTGACTAGAAGGAAAATTAACAAAATGAGAACAAGAAATCTCATGTGTAAGAAGTTTTGGCTATTCGACACATTAGAGACCGATAACGAAGACAATAAGTTTGAAAATTACAATAAAAAAAGAAAAGATATTGTTAGAATAGTACATTGTTATATATGTGAAATGATTGTCGTGGACCAATGAAAGACAAATGGCATGACTCCCATAAACCATCTTAAAACTTTGTGTATTTGAAGAGTCCTTGCACCATCAATGACATCTTGTATCGAGAGCTCAGAGCTCAGAGATGTTTCTTGACATTTTCAAGGTCCGAATGCGGTATCTTAACTCAATACATATAGTGGATGCATGATGAGCACAATAACCTACACAAAAAGTAAGGACAAGAGTTTAATATATATTTTGAACAATGGTTTTAAAATTTTAACACAAAAAAGGCTACTCACGTTCAACCTGATGAGCTACTTGCTCGATAGCTTGCCTCAGTATTGGTTGTTCATTGATCGTCTATGTGTCATACAACCATTCTTCAACAGTTGGAATTGTGGAATTGGCTTAGGGCACGTTTCAAGCGTCTATCATGATAAGCAGTAACAACATGGAGAAACCTCAAAAATGGTTTCATAATTACCATTGATATTTCCTAAAGAGATATTAACATGCATTTGGTTTGGTTACAACGCATAAGTTTTTTCCAAAGAAAACAAGCTAAAAGCCTACCATGGGAAAGCATTAGTATTAAACCTTAACAAACACTAATAAATTAAAAAATTTAGTAAGTATGGTCTTTTGTTAGCATGTGTAGTTTTTCACATGTACATGTTGCAAGTCCCGTTCATTTCTTGTAAACGCGTGGCTTCCTATTTTGTTTTTGCATCTAGTAAACTTGACAAATTGGTTAAAGTTTTTATAGGAGTTGTATGAATTCTCGAGCATAACATGATTGAGAAAGTTGGTTTTCTTAAAGAAAGAGCGGTACATGCCCTCCAATTCTATAAAGCCTATTTGACATTGATAAGGTATCGGTAGCTATCCTTTTTTTTTTTTTTTTTTTTAGTGATGGTATTAAAAAGTGTGTGCAGGAAATGATGACGCAACTTGTTGTTAAAGAATGAGTTTCTATGTGTTGTTCCATACAACAATTTTGACTCAATTGATATGTTTCTTTTATATTCTTGCGTTGAGAGGTTATACGTAGAGTATTTGTAGGTGATTACTTTTTATATTTTTGTGAGAAGATGGATGGATTATGGGTATGGTGTTTTGGCATTGTTCAGCTTATCCGAAACAAATGAATATGGTATTGTGAAAATCAAATGTATGGTGTATGGAGTTAACAGACCGAACTTTTGTCAACAAGAGCTCATTCGTGTTCGTCAAGAACTCGTTCATTTGTTAATCGAGCAGAGTTCGAACAGAAAATTAGCTCGTCTAATTATCGAATGACCACAATCTTGTTTGCGAACGTTCAGCAAATGAGTGGAAAAAAGAAAGGATAGAGAGTCTGTTGATAAGTTTACCTATCTCCGAGGTCTGTGAAAATTAATTTAACATATTTTTCGTAATTTATATGATATTTTTTTTTTTTAAAAAAAAAGTCTAAAACGTAACATTGTATGTCATTGTCATTTACATTATAATTCTCTCACGTCTGCTGATTGGCTTGGCTAAGCAGATTCACTTTGCCATTTTTTTAATTATTTTTTTTTCGCCATGATTATAACACTATCATTCTTCTTTGTTCACTAGCCGTCCTTGGTCTTGTCCGGCAGAAGTTGCTTTAGTACACTATCACAAGTAACAGGTTGTCTTATTTTTGGTTTAATAATTATTAAGTTATCTCTATCTACTCAAGTGCTCTGGTTATTTAGTTACCTTCTCCTGTGGTCTAGGGGATTGAGTTGGACCTTCTGAAAATGGTGAAAGAAAACAGTAAATTCATTCCACCGATTTCAAGCTTAGAACCAGGAGCATATCATTACATCTTCTTCAAGGTTTTGCCCAAAAATGTTGATTGCGCCGACTTGTCCCTGCAATTGTTTTTCGCTGAGATTTTTTTCTGTTGTGCTTGTGTGAAACTTCATCCCACTCGTTGTTTTGTCATTAAACCTAATGATGATCCTGGTAATGCTCCTAACTTCATTATCTGCTTTTTAATTCTTAATACAATATCATCGTGTTATGAATATATGGTTAATGTGCTGTAATTTGTCCATGAACTCACGACATGAGTATTTGTGTGTATGTTTGTACCTTGTTTGAAGAGCCGATGACTTCTGTAGATATGGACAAATGCCGCTAAGGAATTGCCTATTGTGGGGAATGGGGATTTGCTTTATATAATGATTGTTATCTTGTAGCAAGATCATCTTACCTGGAGATAAATTGAATTCGTAGGGTTTATCCTAAACATTGATTATTTATGCATGTGAAAATCGTGTTATTTGTACTTCAATTTCTGATACCAGAGTTAGGGTAGTAAGTAATGTTACGATTTAAATGGTTCTAGGTGTGTCTTAAGGTGTATACGTTGCGGATGCAGGCTTTCTTTCACCTTATAAAAACGTTGCAGTTGAATTGTTATATGTTCCAATTTGAACGTTTTTACCTTAGAGTTTACATTTTTATATTTGTATTTTTGCAGTAAAAAAA